GCTTATATTTTGGTGCTGATCTATTAGGCGGAATTTTAACTATGGATTTCTTTAAAGGTTTTAGGTTATCTCCAGCTTTTGTTTCATGTAAATAATCATTTTCATCTTTAATCTCTTCAGCAGATTTTAACACGCGTTCAGGTGGTAAGCTTTTCGCAATCCATTTAGCACTTTCGTTTAACCATTCTTGAATGGCTCTTGCTCCTTTAAAAATTTCTTCCAAGCAACCAAATACATGCTTTGCAATATAATGTGATAATTCATGAAGTCGATCTTGTGGTATACCTTCAATTTCTTTGAGTCGAGCTTCAATTTGTAACCGAGCTCCAATAAATGTCACACCATACACGGTTGTCATTACAGTTTGTTTGACAACTTTACGATTAATGTGATCTAATACTATTAAAGCTCTTTCATCACCCATTTCTGCCTCAATTTTGATTACTTCTTTTACCCTATTAGCAACTGCAGTATATATATCAGATGGTGTATTAGACGGTGCTAGATTGACTTGAGATGCTCCCTCCAAGTCACCACCAAGAGCCGCGTAATGTTGTAATCCATTGCAGGTACCGTCCTGATGTACAGGAATTCGTGACGTATATTGTTCTGGTGATGGTGAGCGTATTGCATCAGTTAATTCAAAGCATGCTGCCAAACATTGCCATGGATCTTCGGCTTTTTGCCACCATCGTTTGCCTTTCAAAGGATAATCTGCAGAATCCATTATCTCAGCAATATTCTCATTAGTAAACGCTTCTCGTTCACTAAATGAAACTTTGTCAAGTCCATATAAATTTGCCAAATGAATTTTAAGCCATCTTAACCCAGTTTTGCCTAATGGTTTTGCATCCTTAAATACTAATAAACCACGACATAAATCATCACCCATATGATTCAAGTGTGATGGAATTGGGTATGCACGACCACGGAAATCCAGACTATGAGGAAAGAACATTGGTTCGTCAAGATACTTTAATAAAAAAAAAAAAAAAGCAGATTGAGAAATGAATCATTTAAATAAAGCATTAAATAAGTTATATCTTTTAAAAATAATCGGCCAAAAACCGAATAAACTTACAGCACCGGCAATTTCCACTTTATAATTTACCATACATCTCAAAGAATGATTATTTCGTATTTTATTATTAATCTCTCTACATGTCTTAATCCACTGAATTTTCGATTTAACGTTGTTGTCGAAATCTTCAGGTTTTTTAGGAATTTCTAGATTTAAATCGGCAGGTGGAATGTCAAGAACACCTTCTCCACTATTCCAAATCTTTAAAATAACTTCGTATACCCTTTTATTCACGGCCCAACACGTAGAACCAAGGACATCCAAACCAGCAAAAACATGCTCCAGGTGTGAATTATCAGAAGCTTTTTTTCAGATATGCCACTTGCTCAGGACAATCTTTTATTCTCATAGCAAGAGCTAATAAGTGACGATTTTAAAAATGGGTTATATATACATGAAAAAACAACCATCATCATGAAAGAACTTTAATTAAATAGTAAATATTTCATACTTGGAGATGTCAGATAACCACCGCTATTAAAAGTCAACCAAGGCTTTGGAATAATCAACATTGGTAACATGCGAGGATGTAAATGATCTCTAATGGATTCATTAGAAAGCAACTTTATCAATTGAGGGTTAAGCTTAATAACCCCAACTTTTTTACCTCTATTATATTCATAAGAATGAAAGAAAGCTGGCGCCTCTTCACTTCTATTAACAACCAGTTAATAACAAAAATATCAATAATAGGCACAAATTAATAGTGATCTTGGTTAATAAATATTTTAATTCTCACATTATTTTACCAGTTGCATCAGCGGTTGAGACAGTAATCTGAGCAACTTTAATCAGACTAGCGGCCAAGAAAGAGCCAACCTAAACGAATAATATCAATAATTATCATGAATAATATCATTGTTGATACTTAACATATTTAGCTATGATGCCTACTTTAGCTCTTATTGTCGATCCCCAATCCGGTTTCCATGATGTTTCAATATCTTCTTTTTCTATTTTTCTTGCAAACCGACGAATTTCCATATTGAATAATTTTCCAGATGCAAAAAGTTCATGAATATTTAAATCTTTATAGAACTTTTAATAATCATAGAAATTCTGGTCAATGTTCAAAAGTTCAAAAAAGAAAATTACAAATCGTCTAAAACTTTTTAAAATATTTTAAATACCAATTTACGATTTTGTTTCTTTTTCAATTGTTCCGCGTTGTATTCACTTTCCACAGATTTACCAATAGCCATAATGGCAGAGGTTGTCGTCATTCCTTCTATAACCTCACTATCGCTAGATTGACGTAGCATTTCCAATATTGTAATGGCGGAGAGTTTATCCGCACTTAACAATCGCAAGAAAGTCCCAGTTTGTGAATCAATACATTCACCACCTTAAAACGTCGCGAACCAAATTTAAAATAAATGATATAATACGGGATTTGGATTTAGAACTTTGTTATAAACATACCTTCCTCAATATTCTTATAAATACTTTTTTTTAATTCCATTTCAATCAAAGGAACAAGTTTTTCATGCCAAGCCCACATAGCTTTCCTCAAAGAGGGAATTCCAGAAAAAGCATCACCACGTTTACGCATTTGTTCATAATCATGTTTCCAACGCTCAATAGCACCATGTAAAGCATTTTCCTCTAACTTATTTTGACGATCATATTGATCCAGTCCTTTCTCTTTCAGAGCTTCAAGAGAATTTTTTATAAGTTTTACACCAAATGCCTATATTGATTTTTAGAATAAGAAAAACATAATTTTAATAAATTGTATAGAAAAGCGCGAAATAATTATATTTAATACCTTTGTTGGAATGGGTTCTGCAGTTAAAGGTGTTGCGGATTCATTTTCAAGATGTTTCAAAAGTCGTTTCGAAAGACTGGAATTTTTATCTGAATTCAATAACTAAGTAGCCAAAATTGAAAATATAATGAATTATATAGAATATTTTAATGAAATGGAAATTAATTTCCAAATTATACCTCAAATAATTTTTGAGTATCATCATCAGATAATAAATTACTTTCTATTAATTGTTCAAATCGAAAACCTTTATCTTCCATATCAATAACTATAACTTGAAGCACCGTTGAACATTGAAAGTCTTTGCTCTTTCTATAGTAATTGGTAAAAAATTTTAATTTTAATATTTAATGTATTTAATGTATTTAATGTATATCAGACACGAAAAAAACGCGTATTCTGAGTACAAAAAATTTGTAACACGAAAAGTTGAGAAATTGACCTCAAATATCCTTTCAATAAGATAGAAAATGTCGCTAAATTGGGATTTATGCGACATTTATCACGCATTCTATCTAACCAAGAGAATGCTACATTAAGTTCCGGAACAGGTGCATCCAGAAAAGCTTCGAGGAATGCGTTGTGTAAGTTGATATCTAAGAGGTGTTTCATATCCATAGGGCCTTTATTTTCTAAATACTCTAAAATTCTTTTGGCACGGTCGGTTTGACCTAATTTTAGACATGCATATAATACAGCAAGATTTTCTGAAAAAACATGTGGAAGAATTTTTCCATCGTCTTTAAGTTGACTAGGCTGTGGAAGGATCACTAAGGGTTTATCAATGTTTAATGGCCGTTGAAAGGATGGAGAAACAGTATCTTGAAGGACTGAATAATGTCGAATCCGTATAAAAGAATATATGCGTTTATAATTACATCTTCGAAATAAAGATAACATTATTTTTATATTTTGAAAAAATTCGTCAAGTAGTTTAGAAAAAAAATTTTTTTTTTTATCTATGCTCACGTGAATTTTATCAAAAAAAAAAAAAACTGATGGAATTACCGAACGCAATTTCAGGGCATGTGACTTCCGAAACGTCTGATCCGACACCCAAATATAAGT